GAGCAGCTCCAAAACCAAAATAAGATGAGCAGGTCTAGGAAGTGATTTTCCAAGTTCAAGTCGCAGGTCATACTCAAGCTCTAAAGCTTTTCTTTACTTGCTTTTGTGGTATTTTTTGACCCAAGCCAGGAGAATTCTTCCTCATTCATTTTGATCCATTGCTTGAATTTTGGTTATGAGAATTTTCTCTTGCAAGTTGGGTGATCTTTCAGTTTTTTTTTTTTCAGTTGTCTGTACATGTAGATAACTAAAAACAGCAAAAATCTTAGTAATTCTTTTCCATGTCTGTCTGTTCCCCACCCACCCCATCCCACCTCCACTTCCCACCGCACATCCCAGCATTCTCCTAGTGCTTCCCTAAACTACCAATAGAACCCAAAATAGACTCGTTTGAGTTTTAACTGCTTTTATTTTTTCCCTTCCAGTCCTTTAAAAATGTGTAGCAAAATGCCCCTAAAGGCAAGCAGCTCAGAGAATAAAGAGGAGGTGTTCTCCCCACCCCAATTGTTCAGTCCCTGAAGCAGTGATTAGATGAAACTGAACTTTCAAAATGAATTCTAGATTTAGTATATGTCAGTCATTTGAGGTTTTTCCCACATGGATAATTTAAATTTTCAGAAATAAGTTACATTATACCTGAAGGAACAGTTAACTAGCCATATTTTAGCTTATAAGATGCATAGCGGTAGCGAAGTTAATGTAAAATACTTGTAAAGAGTCACTGGTAGGGAAAGTTAGACGGCAGTATGCTTTCAGTGAAACTGTCAATTTGTAATAATATGTATTTTGAAAAGGAAGAGTCGATTAGATCCTGTTAGGTTTGTACATTAAAGAAAGAATTGGAATAACCCAGGTTCATTAACTGGAAGAACCTGTAATGGAAAAAAATGTCTTGCGGGCAGGGAATAACAAATTTTATGTGAATGTGTAACACCTCAGAGTCGGGAGTAAGAACAATGCTTGGAATGATTATAGAAGACCTCTTGACAGGTTTCCAAGACTAAAGGTTTTGACTTGGTATGTAGTAGGAAATGAGAGTAAGCAGTAGTATTTTGTTGTTGTTGAGTCTTGTTGAAATCTTGCACTTGGTCATTGGGTCTAACTGTTGAAGCTAGCTGATTGGTTGTAACATGCTGTGGAAGCAGGTGCTTCCCTAGATGTGGCCCTCTCTGGTTATCAGGCCCTAATCATATTCATTTTCCCATACTTGTTTCTCATACAAGCACCTAATAGGAGTCTAAGCCTGCAGCCATTACTGAAGCTGGTTCCCTTTGATATTGTTTTCTTTGTAATGATTTCCTGTTTGGTAGATATAACAAACAAGCTCATGCTATTAAGTCTGTGCCTTCCCCTCTGTGGCAGAGTAAAAGGATGGAAAGGTTACTAATTGTAGATAGAGTGTTCATGATTCAAAAGGAGAAATCTATATATTTTAAGCTACTTATAGGAAAATTTAAAATCAACTGGTTTAAATTCATTGCTTAGCCTGTTGCATGCTGTATCCAAAACACAAACAAAAAAGCTCCATGAGTCTTCTAGATTTTGCTATCCAGTCATACCAGTGTCAGAATCCATCAAGTATAACAGAATCATTTGCATTTCTCCTCTGCACTGTGGAAAAGAGGAAGGCTAATCATGGAAAAGGACCTGGTGAAGGTCTTTGCAAACCAGTAACAACAACGACGAAATTAAGGGCCTTCTTTCTACATCATTCCAAAGGACATCTATTTTGCCAAGTCTCATTTGTTAGGGTTTTTAGCCGCCTCGCCCTTTCCCCATAAGAATTATCTTTACAGTTGTGTGTGCAGACTTTAATTTGTAAATTAAAGTTATCATATTTCAAAACTTGTAGGTGAGTTGGAAGAGCTTTAAATGCAGTTTTCGGGCAACCCTCTTTCTGGTCTTCTCCCACTTGGGAGCTGTTCTGTCTTAATAAATTCCTGCTTTCTCACCAAAAAATAAAAAAATTAAAAATAGATAAATGAAGTTTTGTTCATAGTCAACATTTGTTAAGTGCCCTCTTTACTTAAACACTGTTAGGTATGTGAAAGAGTTCAAGAAGAATAAGGTGTTCTTAAGGCATTGAAGGGTGGTGTAGATGTGTACCAGAAAGGGAGTGTGTGCTTTTCAGGCGCTAGAAAAATAGGTTTTACATATATGCATACACACACACACACACACGCAAATAATAAAGGGAAGATATAAAGGGAGTTCAGAGAAGGTAGAGGACACTTCTTACAGGGGATCCAGGAAGATTTTGCAGAGGAAGTATTATTTATTTCTGTTAATGAATAAGAGTATTTGTTTTCTCACAGAAGAAGCTATAGTGATTCTATTTGTAGTCCTGAACACCAAGCTCCTTATGATCATTAAGTTAATTTTAGAATTTTGGGAGGGACAGCCAGAGGTAGAGGCTCTCATAACTGGCCAGCTGCCATTGTCAGTTGGAGAAAGCTCCCAAGCCAGGGGGTGACTAGAGGACTGGCCCAGTGGTTTTATTACTGTCTAATTTCATGACCCTTGCTTGAGTCGCTAGTATGTTTTAAAAACACTATGTGGAGGCTAGGATAAATAAAAATATATCCCCTCCATTTACTAATAAGTAGAAAGTATAACTCATAATACAGCTAAGTGTGATAGAGAACAGAGTGGAAATGGGATGCAGGGGTATAAACAAAGGGCTATGGAAAGCATAGAGAAGGAAGCCATTGATATGGCATTTTCTGGTGGAAATCAGTTAAGGCTTCATACAGGAAGTAATATTTGACTGGGCCTTGAAAATGAGTGATATTTTAAAGGTGGAAAAGAAAGGAAACAGTCTGGCACAGAGAGGAAATAGCATAAGAAAGACATTTAAACACAGGATATGAATAGTCTAGTAATGTTATCCAGGAATAAATTGGAAAGGTAGGGTGGGGCTGGGTTGTAAAGGACCTTAAATGACAATGCTAATAGATTGACCGTTCTGTAAATAGAAGGAAGTCAGCAAATGTTTTTGAGCAAGAAGGTAACAGGATGTGATTTGTGTCACAGACACTGTGCTATGAAGGGATGGCTTAGAAGGAAATGAAGTAGACATACGTAGTCAGCAATAGCATCAATCTAGGTCAGCAATGATAAGAGTCTGAACTGTGATGGCAGGAAGGACATAGAAAGGAGGAACTGGATTCAGGACCCACGGAGTAGAAGCAGTAAGAGTATGAAACTTGTGGGAAATGAGAGAGAGAAAGGAATCAAAGATTACTCCAGTGTTCCTAGTAACAGGGTTAGTAATGTAGTTCATGAAGATGGGAATGTCACTAGAGGGCAGATTTGACATTGGAAAATGGTGGACTTGAGGTGTTTCTTCCCAAGCAAGTATTGGGGGTTTATGCCAGGAACTTAAGAATGGTGCCAAGGCCAGATATATACATTTGAGGAATTATCCCCAAACAGACGATAGTGGTAGTGGTGGAGCCAAAAGAGTTAGCTTTGAAAAAATATAGAGCAAGGAGAGGGGGGCAAAGTCAGCAGATACCTACTGGAAAACAATTCTGTAGAAGATAGAAGGAAAGTAAGTAGCAAAAGGAAGAGTCCACGAGAGAGTAAAACTAGGAAAGAGAGGAAAGGTTTCAGAGAGTTAGAGGAGTGCTTAGCATTTTCAGAAACTGTGATTGCAAGGAGTGTGGCATGTCCTAGCCGGTCATATGGGCTATTCATAAATGGAAGCATTTATATGCTAGTGACTATGCTTGGCCTGCTGCCTAGCTCATTTTCTTTCTTTTTTACAATAGAAATTTATGATCTCACAGTTCCTGAGGTCAGTAGCCCAACATAAAGATGCGGGCGCAGTTGGGTCGTTCTGAAAAATCTAAGTAAGAAACTGCCCCATGCTCTTCCCTGGCTTCTGGTGGTTGCCAGCAAGCCTTGGTGCTCTTTGACTTGTAGATCATTCCTCCAGTCTCTGCCTCCATCCTCACATTGCCTTCTTTGCTGTGTTTCTCTGCATCTTGCTGCTTCCTAGAGGGACAACAGTCCGTGGATGTCGGGTTCACTGTAAACCTGGGATAATTTCATCTCAAGATTCTTACCTAATTATGTATGCATAGACCCTATTTCCAAATAAGATCTCATTCTGAGATTCAGCATAGACGTGAAATTTGTGTGCGTGGGTGAGTGCATTCAATCAACTGCAGATGGGTAGGTTAATGCTCATGTTTACCAGTTTATTATAAAGGGTATTGCAAAGGGTACAGATGCGGAGATGTGTAGGGCGAAGCATGGGGGAAGGAGCTAGGAGCTTCCAAGTCCTCCCTGGACGCCACCCTCCAGGAACCTACACATGCTTGACTATCCTGAATCTTTCCTTGCTCATTTTCTTAGTATATCTTCTCAAAACTCACCTCACCTGCCTCCCTCTCCTCCCTCTTAAAGCAAGAGGAGGGGGAGAAAAGAAGTGGGGGGGATGTTGAAGCATAAAGAGAGTTGAAGTTAACATGCAACGTTCTTGGTTTAGTTTGTAAGTAAATTGCATATTCTTTATTTTGAATAAGCTACCTTAATGATAGCTAATTTTGTCTATTTTTAAAGTGGTCATAAGTGTGCTTGCTATAAGAAGTAAAAAAAATAATATAAAAGTTCTGGGTGTAGTTGAGTAGGCTTACATGTATTTACTGATTCTAATATGGTCTCGACATCAATCATCCAATTTCATTTCTTTCTCAAAGGAACAAGTACTACCCACCTGACTCTCCCTAGGTTTATGAAGAGATTGGTGCTATTTTTGCTGACATGAACCAATCATGTTTACTTCTAGTTAACCAGATGTCTTTTACATTCCAGCTCATTTGTTTCTTTGTTTCACTATTATTTTTTAAAGTTTAACTGGTTGGCTGTGTGGTTCCTAAATGTTCTCTTTTTGCATTTAATATTCAGACTTAGTGATTTGGAATCTTTAGTAAGTAGAGATTGATGTTTGCTGGGTTATAATAACATGAATTGTATCCATTTGCCTCTTCTAGATTTTGGATTCAGTAACCTCTTCACTCCTGGGCAGCTGCTGAAGACCTGGTGTGGCAGCCCTCCCTATGCTGCACCTGAACTCTTTGAAGGGAAGGAATATGATGGGCCCAAAGTAGATATCTGGGTAAATAACTACCTTCCCTGATTATCCCATAGCATTTGCTACTCTTGATTGATGACAGCTGTCCTCACCATGTGGTATGTGCATTGAGATCATGGTCACCTCCTCCTTCAAGTCCCAGTTTGTGCAAAGTTTTTCCTCCAGCACTTACTGAAAGGGCTGAGCCATAGGTTTCAGATTCTCCCTTTGCTTCTGCAAAAGAATTGCCAAGGCCAGCTTGGATGGGTGCCTTTGGCAAGAACAGAGATTCTTTCTATTGTTCCACTTGCCTTATCCGGAGAGAACGAGTACTGAGAAAAATTTGGGATGTTACCCCAGATGAATGTCTGGAGGCAAAGAAGAGTGTTAACTATTCTAAAGATGATCAGCCTTGACAATGTCCCATATTATTACTCATAAAAAAGAAAAAAAGAGTTCATTTCATAATCTCGTGCATGACTCACCATCATCTTCATAAACACACTATAATGGCCTCTTTTGTTTCCTTGATGCAATTAATTGTGTATATTCTCTGTTTGGGTGCAGAGCCTTGGCGTTGTCCTCTATGTGCTCGTGTGTGGTGCCCTGCCGTTTGACGGGAGCACACTGCAGAATCTGCGGGCCCGGGTGCTAAGTGGAAAGTTCCGAATCCCATTTTTTATGTCTACAGGTAAGGGTGTTGCCAGCACACAGCTATGAATGGCTTCGTGGAAAGTTAGACATGCTGAGTTATCTATCTCAGGAATGTACTGATGGCCCATTTACAGCCTTTCTTAGCTCCAGTTTGCTGACCTGGTGCTCTAGGAGGCAAGGCTCTGTAGGAAGAGTGTGTGTAGGATGTGGCATCAGATAGCTCCACCTGGGTTTGAATCTAGGCCCTGCATATTTTTAAGTCTGTCTGAGCTTTAATTTCTGCATCTGTAAATTGGCTGAGAGTTTTTTGAGGCGTATATATATGAGGATTATATATAAGGGCTATATGTGTAAGGATTACATTAAATAATGTCGGTTAAGAGTTAGTAGGCCTGTGGCATAGCAGCATAGTTGTCTTCGCCCCCACCCCCCTTTGCAGGATAATATTTCCATTTACTGTGTTCCCATTGCAATGTGGTTTTGTTTTATTTTAGTTAATTAATTTTGAGTCAGGGTCTCATTCTGTTGCCCAGGCTGGAATGTGGCACAATCATGGCTCACCGCAGCCTGGGCCTCCTGAGCTCAGGAAATTCTCCTGTCTCAGCCTCCCAAGTAACTGGGAGCATACCACCACAGCTGGCTAATTTTTTTATTTTTTTGTAGAGACAGTGTCTCTCTATATTGCCTTGGCTGGTCTCGAACTCCTGGGCTCAAACAATCCTCTTGCCTTGGCCTCCAAAAGTACTAGGATTACAGGTGTGAGCCACTATGCCCAGCCTGCAATATGGTTTTAAATGCCAAGGATAAAATAAGCTTTGCAGTTTAGTCTTGCTACTTAATTTCATATTTCTAGACTGGGTGTGTGGTGGCTCAAACCTATAATCCCAGCACTTTGGGAAGTCGAGGCGAGAGGATTGCATAAATTCAGGGATTTGAGACCAGCCTGGGCAATTTGGTGAGACCGCTTCTCTACAATTAATCAAAAAATAAGATGGGTGTGGTAGCGCACGCCTGTAGTTCCAGCTACTTGGAAGGCTGAGGGGAAGGATCACCTGAGCCCAGCAGGTTGAGGCTGTGGTAGCTGTGAGCATGCCACTGCACTCTAGCCTGGACGACAGAGTGAGACTCCAACTGGAAAAAAAAAATCGTATTTCTATGATATGTATCTTCTAGACCCAAACAAAAAAATTTTTTTAAATGAGTGGATAGTGCAGTAGGTAGGTCTCAGAAAAATTTAATGCTGTAAATAGATGCCAGATACCCAGAATCCACAATATTTATCACCATTTGCACACAAGAAAGGAATACTATACGGAGAGTCATATATTTCGTTTTACTCAATCATCTATTTCCATTTTAAGGAAGAACCTATGTCCACTGGGTTACAACAAAGTATAAACATTTGGTAATTGCATCTTAGAATCAAGAGGTGAACCTTGAACTTCAAATTGATGACTTAATAGTACATCAGATAGTGCTAAATGCTGTGAGAAAAATAAAGTTGAGAAGGAATTCTGGTTGGTGAGTATAGTTTATTTGAAAGCCCCTTCATTAAGAAAGTGACCTTTCAGCAAAGCCTGAAAGAAGGTGGGGACATAAGGTGTGCAACCTGCGGACAAGCATTCCCGGCAGAGGGAGCATCAGGTGCGAAGGCCCTGGGAAGGGAACGTGCTGGAGTGTTTAAGAAACAGGAGGCAGCCTGGTGCCCGAAAGGAAGAAATGAGGTCAGGAGAAGAGGGGAGGCTTAACTTTAGGGCCCAGTCAGTCCATGAAAAGACTTGTGTTTACTCTGAGTTAAATGCAAAGGATTGGAGGGTTTTGAAATGAGTGACATCTCTGGCTTTTTGTTGTTTCCAAATTTTCTTATGGAAATTTTCAAACATACAAAAAAGTTAAAAGAATTTTACAGTGACTTTTGTTTTAGAAAGATCATTTTGGCTGCTAAGTTGCCAGTAGGTTGAAAGATACAAGGCTGAAGGGAGGAGACCAGTTAGCTGGTGACTTTTACAGTAATCCAGATGAGAGCTACTAGAGACTGGTTCCCAGATGGGGTGTGGAGGTGGAGCTGGTGAGAAGGGATCAGATTCATGAGATACCACAGACTACGGCAGGCGCTGTTCAAAGCATTTTACAAACACTAACTCATCAATTATTTTAGCAACTCCATGAGATACATAAGATTATTGTCCCCATTTTACTAGTGATAAAACCGGAGTCAGGAAAAGTTAAGCAATTTTCCCAAGATAACAATGCTCCCAAGTGGCTGAACTAGATTTGAACCCAGGTATTCTGGCTCCAACTACATTTGGTGTTGGAGCTGATGTGAAAAAAAGAGAGTAGTTAAAGGTGACTCCAGGGTCTCTGTCCTGAGAAACTGAAAGGATGAATTTATAGCTAACTGAGGTGGGGCTGGCTGGGGAAGAATACTTGCATTTTGAGAGATGTGTTAGTTGTGTCACATTTGAGATGTCCCTTACACATTGAAGTTGAGATACTTTATAGACAGTTGAATTTAGGGGAGAGTCTGGGCTAGGGACGTACATTTGGGAATCATCAGTGTATAGATGACATTTAAAGCTATGAGATGAGATCACTTTTTAGGCAGTAGTTATAGAGACAAGAAGAGGGCCAAGGATTAAGCTCTGGAACATACCAGTATTTAGAGATTGGAAAGGTAAAGAGGGATCATGAGAATGACTAGTGAGGTAAGCCAGGGATTCGGCTGTCCTGGAAGACAAGTGGAGAAAATGTCCTAGGGAGGAGGGAGTGAGGGATTGCAGGGAGTGTGACTGCTGCGGCACATAAGAGGACTGAGAACGAGTGTTGGATTTAGAAATGTGGAGATCATTGATGATTTTGTTTCTTTTGTCATTTTTATTCCCCTCCCCCGATCATTAATGATTTTGAAGTGCACTTCTGGTGGAGGGGCAGGAGCAAAAGCCTAAGTCATGTGGCTACAAAAAAAAAAAAAGGCATAGAAGAAAAATAGAGGAAGTAGACACATTCTTTCCCATTTACTATAAAAGGAAGTAGAGAAGTGGTCCCGTGATGCTGTGGCCAGTGTCACCAGTGATCTCATCGTTCATCAAATGCACATCCTCAGACTTTATCTTTCTTTTTTTTTTTTTTGAGTTGGAGTCTCAGTTCGTTGCCCAGGCTGGAGTGCAGTGGCATGCTCATAGCCACCACACCCTCGACTTGCTGGGTTCAGGAAATCCTTTCGCCTTAGCCTTCCAAGTAGCCAGAACTACAGGCGCATGCTATCATGCCCAGCTAATTTTTTTTTTGAGTTGGAGTCTCACTCTGTCGTCCAGACTGGAGTGCAGTGGCACGCTCAGGCCACCCTAGCTTCAACCTGCCGGGTTCAGTACCACACCCAGCTAATTTCTTAAAAATTTATTGTAGAGATGAAGTCTCGTCAAGTTGCCCGGGCTGGTCTCAAACCCATGGGCTCAGGCAATCCACTTGCCTCGGCCTCCCAAAGTGCTGGTATTACAGGCTGGGCCACCGAGCCCAGCCTTTTTAAAAAACTTATTGTAGAAATGAGGGCTTGCCAAGTTGCCGAGGCTGGTCTTGAACCCGTGGGCTCAGGCAGTCCTTTTGCCTCGGTCTCCCAAAGTGCTGGGATTATAGACTTGAGTCTCCATGCCCAGCCTAGACATTGTCTTAATGGCTGCCCAGCAGTAGTCAGCACTTCACCACTTCTTTTTTTAAAATAGATTTTATATTTTAGAGCAGTTTTAGATTCATAGCAAAATTGAGTAGAAGGTACGGTTTCCATTTTCCTCTGTGTCCCCCACCAACAGCTTCTCCTACTGTTAACATCCCCCACCATTTGTTACAGTCAATGAATGTACACTGGCGCATCATTATTACCCCAAGTCTATAGTTTATGTTAGAGTTCTCTCTCAGTGTAGTACATTCTGTGGGTTTTGACAAATGTATAATAACATGCATCCACTATCATAGTAGCATATAGGATAGTTTCACTGCCCCCCAAATCCTCTATGCTTTGCCTATTTATCCCCCCACAGCCACTGTTCCTTTTACTGTCTCCATAAATTTTGCCTTTTCCAGAATGTCATATGGTTGGAAGCATGCAGTACATAACCTTTTCAGATTGGCTTTTTTCACTTAGCAATATGCAATAAATTTCCTCCGTGTCTTTTCATGGAGGGATGAATTGACAGGATTTGGTAACTGACTGACTGTGGCAATGGTGAGAGAGAAGTAGGAATCAAAGCTTGTTTATGCCTTGGCCAGATAGTGATGCCACTCCCTAAGACAGGGAACTCAGAATAGACCAAGTCTGGGAAGGAGGGAGAAGTCCTTTTTTTTTTGAGTTGGAGTCTCACTCTGTTGCCCAGGTTGGAGTGCGGTTGCATGTTCCTGCCACCGCAGCCTCGACTTGCTGGGCTCCAGTGATCCTTTCGCCTCAGCTTTCCAAGTAGCTGGAACTACAGGCATGTGCTACCACGCCTGTCCAATTTTGTGATTTATTGTAGAGACGAGGTCTTGCCAAATTGCCCAGGCTGGTCTTGAACCTGTGGGCTCAGGCAGTCCACTTGCCTCGGCCTCCCAAAGTGCTGGAATGACAGGCTGAGCCACCAAGCCCAACCGAAGTTTCATTTCTGATGGTGGATACATGTCATTATACATTTATTAAAATGAATCTTGATAGCCTGTTCTTTTTAGCACTGAATAATATTCCATTATCTGGATGTACCACAGTTTATCCTTTCACCTATTGACAGACATCTTGATTGCTCATAAGTTTTGACAGTTATAAATAAAGCTACTGTAACATCCTTGTGTAGGTTTTTGTCTGGACATAGATTTACAACTCATTTGGGTAAATTCCAAAGGAGCACAATTATTGGATCATATGGTAAAGTATGCTTAATTTTGTAAGTAAGTGTCAAACAGTTTTCTGAAGTGACTGTACCATTTTGCATTCCCAACAAGCAATGAATGAGAATTCCTGTTGCCACATCCTCACCAGCATTTGGTATTGTCAGGGTTTTGAACTTGGGCCAT